ACGAACAACTGGCATACGATAGTGTTTTCCAAGCCACGTGATGAGAAATTGAAAACAGCTCAATAGCCATATCACCAACTGGCTCAAAAAGCCTAATGACGGTGGCTACATCATTCGGAGTATTTGTATAAATCTAGGTCACACAGACATCACGATTCCTGAACGATCGGGCCATTCAAAAGCGCATAAACCTGATGTAAACCTACCACCAGTCTTATATATGTAGAACTCACCGTACCAATCCATGGCATGGGGGTGCGTTGCGTCACTGCAATTTATTCGAAAAGGAGCTAGCTGTGCACCACCTTAAAGACAGTTTTGCTTTGAGGATACAGTGCGCGATATAAATGTCTCGGATTATATCATGTAATCACACGAAGTAGCTTCAACTTTTACAACTGTGCCGTTAGTTTAAACTACAAATTTCAACTCGCTTATGTCGCAGAAAACCAGGTAGATATTGGCATACCTGCGGTGGCCGGAAATGAACAACTGCTCTGGTGCAGTTTCAAAATCAAATTTGCGTGTAACAGTGAACAACACAATGGAGTTGGTATGGACTCCCTAATTGGACTTATTCTTGCTGACGTATTCATGGGTACGTAAGAACAGAACAATTTCCAATCTCTCAATATTAACCCTAATGTTAAGCATCGGCACCTCGACGATCTCTTTATACTGCTCTGCTCATCTCGAACCATAAAATATCCTACAACTGAATTCGATCAGGCCCACGAATCCTGGAATTACAAATGTTAACGTCATTTCCAATTTTTCTTATATTTCCAGGATTGCGAACCTGTTCTCTTAATTGCTTAAAATGTCTGCTGTCATCAAGGCCATTGAGACGAATTTTCAGCATTCCTTGCAGAAGCGTTAATATAATCAACTTGCGGCTTTGCTTGAATAATAAAGTCATCATTTATAGTGAGTTTATAGATATAATTTTGGTAGATCGTTTGTTCCTCTGACTGTTGCTTTTTTTATTCATGCCATCATCATTCCACGTTATGCACATCAGCTAGAGGTTGGAAACATTTCAGCTGCTGTGACGCAATACACAAATGTAAAGGAAAATAAATACAACAATTGCATACATCTGAGTTACCAGTAACTTATGGGCATCATTCTACTAAGCTACCAGTCAGTTACTAGGCAAAACATTATGTTTACCCAACGAAATGTGATCATAGATGGAGTGGTGGCTAAATGCGATGATGAGAGAACAAGAAACGCACAACAGGAACGCCACTGATGTCGGCTGCTTGCCATATCAGCAATCGTATCCTGCCAAACGTGTTCATCATTTGTGGACCCCTACCAGGTAGCCTTGATAATCCATTAGAGGTCAGCTTCTAAGTGAGAGCCTTTATTCCTCTTGACCAAGACATCACTTGGCCCACCCCTCCTCTTCTTACTTCCACATCCCTGGTGCGCCAATAACGCAAGTCGTGGAAATCGGTGGGCTGGCGTGCGCAACACTGGCCTAGCCACCTGAGCCTGGTGCGTGAAATGATGGTGCTAAGCCGTGTCGAACATGCACGTTACTTGCGCTGTGTTCCTACTAGATGTAAGCAAAACTGCGAATGCATTGTTGATCGAAATTAACTACCCTCTTAATGTCCTCCGACTTAGTAGCCAGGTTCTGCACCCATACAGTAAAGTCGATCGTACCACATATTGTACAGTCAAAACTTCCGGAAGTGGGTGATAGCGCGCCTCCGCCATATGTGGCGTACGTTAGCAAAAGCACTACGAGCTTTTGCTACACGGTTCCAGATTTTGTCTTCACATACAAGGGGGCTGATACAACTTCCTAGGTAGTTGCATTTTGAACGACTTCTAGCTGATCGCTACTAAGTGTCAACGCAGGAGACGAGCACTGCCAAGCTTGGGGGAATGTTTTGCATTTCAAATGGTGCAAAGCAAAGCCCGAAACTGCTGACATCCACTGCTAATCTGAAGAGCGTGGCTTTGCACGTCTGCGAGCTATCACAGATGAGGGCAATTTCTTCTGCACACTCAAATTTAAGAAGCCGTGCTCCTGGGAGTAACTCCACTCCTTCCGAATTAAGGCGCTGTAAATGCAATATCCATGACTTCGTCAATAGCGAAGTTAAAGAGAAAAGTTGACAACGGGCATCATTGTCTCACACTGCTGGATATCTTGAAGGGTGGCGAATGCTTGTCGATAGCTCTCACACTGTCGGTGCTACGCGTGTGTTATGCTCGGATAATATTTACATATTTCTCGGGAACACCTTACATGATTAGACAAATGAAAAGGGCACATCGATCAACCGAATCGAAGGCAGCTTTGATTTCGAGAAATACGAGTACGCTGGGCTGCCAATATGTGTGATGTTGCTCTAACAACTAAGGCAAGGTTAAGATGTGGAAGATGCAGCCATGGCACCGACGAAACCCGGTTTGACTTCACGAATCTGTCATTCACTATCGCCAGTCTGTCTGTGAAGAATTATGGGTGCGGGTAATTTAGAAGTGATGGGGTTCCGACTGATTCCTTTATGGTTGCCGCATTCGGAAACCAAGTCTTTTTGAAGATATGAACACTAAAGGAGCAGCTCCCGCCGGTTAGCACTGTCACTTACTCGCACAGTTTCCTTAGCAATGGGTGCAAAGCATCAACAAGAACACAGCCTCCGAATTTGAAGAGTGCTGGAGGAAGATAATCGGGTCACGCGAGTTTGTGCAAATATAATAGCCCAATCACACGTTCGACTTCTGAGCAGAAGGGTAGGTATAAAGGGAGAGCCCACGGAGCACGGGCGAACACGGGTCTTTGAGGAAACGGATTATTCCGGCCGGTTAAATTGATTTTCAAATTGCTCAGCCTAACTCTCCAAACGTTTTGACAAACTGTGGATAGGCTGTCTACTCACGTCACGTATAATTTCACTAACACCAGGTATCCTGCTGCCCGTTTCCCGTGTCAGACGAATAACTTGCGATGATTGCCAAGGGCAGCGGCTATTTCCATATTTGACTCACGATGAGACCACAAAGTTTCGCGGTCTCTCCTCAAGCTAACACCGGGTCTTGTCCGCAGCTCTTTGCGAGTTTTATTGTGTTCTCTTCCAGCCGCGATATGCCGGCAAGCGTCGATGTTGCAGAGATTGCGAAGAGTCCCAAACTCCATATTGGCTATTATACATAACACGGGAGGTTTAGCCTGCTGCTAGTAAGGTCTGGTGAACAGTTGACCAGTGACAATCTGTTGTCTCCGGTGAGCGCTTACTGAACTCGCATGTCAGCGTACTTCCACACACGTTCAGAACAGCCGGCTTTGTCAGTTTGCAGGTGTCAATGCGCTCAGGCGTCGTCGTAGGCGTCCTCCAAAGCGCAACCGCATGTCATCATATACAAGCGCATGATCGTTGTCCACACGTATGCTCCAAATCGAGCGACAGTAGTGGATGCAGCCACTCCAGCGATAACGTTTCGCAATATGATCCATCTGCATCCATGGCTGTTTCGAGGTCGGCGGGCGCCAAGACACCCTCCGGCGGGTGCCGACTCGGAAGTTAGTGCTCGCAAAATATAAGCGGACATCTTCACATAAAAGAAATAATCGCTCACCGTTATCCGTACAGGAGCCTATACCGTGATGACCGCCTTGATGAATTTCGTTAGTGGACGACTTGCCAACTTGTGCGTTCACATCCCCTACCAGCACAACAGTGTCCGCGCTTCTTCTGTGGCAAAGGAGCTGTGTCAGTTGGCGATATACGTTGTTCTACATCGCTACAGTTTGTAGGCGTGTAGGCGGCGATTATTAATAGAAGAGTATTATTCCAGCGCTTCCTCAAAGCTTTGCACGACCAAGCCAAACGGATTACACACATCCGGCTACTGATTGTGATCCAAGCAGCTAGAGCAACTTCAGTCCGTTGACTCAGACAAATGCCAACACCAGTTCGTCCGGTGCTCGATGCTGCATTTTCACCGGATAGGCGCTATGGGAAAATACAGCTGTGGTCACCTGCAGCGGAAGGCAGAGTGAACACAGAGCACCAGTCTTGCAGGTGGGTCTCCGATAAGCGGCAAATACCGATCGATGGGGTCTCTAATGTACAAGCAATTGCTGCCTGTTAACCGAGAAGTAACAATTTGCGAGCATTAATGCATGTAAATCTGAAGCAAGATCGTGGGCACCAATGAAAGCCAATGGACTGGAATGGACAGCTGGGTTGTACATGGGATTGTCGACAGGATAGAAGTGACGCTCCGCGTCAGCATGTGATTCAAAGTAAGAAAATAAAAGCTAAGCAAAACATGTTGAGGGAGGGCAAATAATCCGTTGGTTGAAAACAAGGGGATAAAGGTGAAGTTGGAACAAAACGGTAAGAGCGGAAAAGGGTAAGAGGGGGAATATGAAGACGGAAAGGCCTAAGCAGCAGCATCTAAACCCATATCCACAATGCTCGATGCAGCAGCTAGGGCACCGCTTATTATCCTCTGCGGTGGCCAGAGCATCAGCTAACCGTTTGAAGAAAATGTATAGTATTGCTTGGCAGGATACTGTCAGGTTGCCCAGACCTAGACAGGAGAACGATTAGGGTTCTCAACCAAAGCCTTGGGTTCAAAAACCTCACCGCGAAGCAGCGGGCTTGGAGTTGGGCCACACGGAGTCCGTTTTAATGAATAATTAGCGATCCTTATTCTAACCCCCAACCTGGAGGACCAAGAGGCTGAGTATATTTGGCCTGTAGCCATTGACCAATCTGGTATAAGTGCATCTGAAGGTGCAAACACCACCCAGCATAGCTCCATGGATCGCAAGGCACACAAACCATCGCACCACGGTAAGTTCCAGCCCTACTGCGATGGTTTATTCATGACAGCCCTAAAAATTATCATCTCACAAAACCAAATATATCATATATTCTGCCGTTTAACGCCATATTTGTATACAACCTTTCCTGTTGTAATTGGTGGACCGCTTTGGCCTCACTCGTACGGAACTCGGCTTCTGGCAGATGCGTACTCACCAGAGAGTTAGTGGAAAACTTCCTCACCGCGGACGTATACGCGATATATATATCGTCACTTCGAATTGTCGCGACACATGGTGTATGCTTTGACGACCAACGTTTATCCACGCTGAAAACACAGCACGAAATCACCAAGCAGTATTTTGAAACTTATCGGTGAGTTGCATTGTCAGGTCAGTTTCCGTGATCAGCACCCTCAAAAAACCTGTTTTGTGACAGATTAAGCAGGATTGAATTTGCTGGGTTTCGATTGGATGGAGTAGTTGAAATTAATTGACCGGTCACTTAACAGTATATGCCAGAAACTACAAGTCGAGAAACCCGCAGAGCCGCAGACTATGAACGTTGAAATTTACAGTCCAATTGCAAAACTGTAGCGACGCCACGACCGTTTGTTCAAACATGATCTTGGATGCTGCCGGAAAGCCAGAGCTGAGCTGAACCTCAATAAAATGCCATACCTGTCTTTAGAACAATACGACCAATGCCGTACGCAACGCAAACGATAGGGGAGGCCAAGTAAAATCAGCTCCAGTCGGAAGGCGTGAACAAGAGTGTAAATTACTCAGAATGAGCGGCATCCATGTTTGTGATAAAGAAAAGGAACATAAGGTACATAATTGTGCGGACTTTTCAACCGGCTTAATTCCATGTTGGAGAATCACCAGCACCATTTTCTTATACAAACAGATTTGTTCACCTAGTTTAATGGTTAAAAATGGTTTGCGAAACTCGATCATGCTGATGCTAATTTACAAGTTCCAGTACCCGAGAACCGCAGAATAATAAAGACGTTTAACAATAAAATGGGTATATTCCAGTACAAAAAATTTCCATTCGGAGTAAAAATGTCTCCCGTTATTTTACAACAAATCATGTATACGTTGCTGAAGGATATCCATCGGGTGGCCGTATACATGATTTAAGCACTGCGTATGTGGAATGAACGAAAAACGTCGCTGATCACGTTAGAGATCGTGCAAAATCGTCTTTAAGAAGCTGGCGTCCGGATAAGAGAGGAAATGCAATGTACCGTTAGACGAATTCAAGTTAAAGGTCATAGGAATGAAAATGCTAAAATGTACGATCAGAAGTAATCAATGACTTATCGGCGGCAGGTCCCTCAAGGTGAGTCGTTGTGATAGTGGGCCAGGGTAAACACAGAATCTGTACGAACCGTTTTTGAGCACATAAGAATGGGTTCTGGTGGCGGATAGCAATTGCCTCAGCTGCTGCTAGGATACGACATTTTACCGTGAAAGGCGTCCAGGTAAACGGCAAATGGGTTGAAAATATTGGCCGGAGTCAATTTTGTGATTAAAATCAACCAAGTGTGCCAACACGGCGCTCATCACAGTTTTTCTTCCACCATTGCGTAGATTAGCTGGACACTGCTCGCGTATTCTCTCAGACAGCCTCCTAATGGTGTTTCCAATGTATCTTGCTCGACATGAACAAGAGAAGGAATATACACAATAAGAATTACATGACCAAGGAAGTCTGTCTTTGAGTTGGGGCCTCACGATTGGTGTTAAAGTAAAACTTGGCCGCAAGCTCGCTGCGTAGTACGTATGACTCATAGCGTCAGGTAATCTTATAAATGTTGACTGCGCTATGCCATCCCCTTGAACGGCAACGACAAATAAACCGGTTTCTTTTCTACCGAAGCTGGTTTAGCTCTCATTTCTCTGCAGTCCATATATTCGGAACAAGTTTTTCTGAATAGCTGTTTCTCTCGAAAACGCCACTTAAGAAACTGAGCTCGTCCGCAAGTGTGCCCTCACTACAAATTATTCTGGCCCCTTCGGTTAGACATCTAATCAAGTTGCGTTTGTGATTTATTGGGATAAAACTGGCAAAATGTATATATTGTCCGTTTCACGTTGTTTTTCTATGCACCCTCCGTTGGACTGATCCATCTGGTCGTCTACAAAGCTGAACGTCTAGGAAGGACATCCTGTCATTGGCTTCAGTTTCTAGGGTGAAACTGGCATTAGGGTGAGCTGAGTTAAAATGGGATAAAATTGTCACTGGGCAACAGTGATTGTTCGTCACACAAAATATGTCATCCACATATCGTCCCTAATATGGTAGACTGGTAATGACTCCGCTCAGATAGGTATTCTCTAATTTGCTCATGAACACATCCGCCAGTAGCGGTCCAAGTGGTGAGCCCAATGCTACTCCATCTCTTTGTCTGTATATGGCCCCATTAAACTAAAATTGTATGTTACTACTACACAGCAAGAGTAGTTGTTTCAATCGATCAGTTGAAAGGCCAAAACTCAGTTGATGGTCTCGAATGGTGTCACATATTAGCCAATTGTCTATTCTAACGGAATATTTGCGAAGAGCGAATCCACATCCAACGGAAACATCTTTCTTCCGGTTAGCTGAAGCTGTCTTATGGAATCTAAGAAACTGAATGTGTCTCGTGGCTGTACCTGGACATAGTATTTCTCACCGGCTCTAGAAGCTTTGCTAACCACTTGGCTTTTGCGTGATACGGTGAATTGCACATGTTTAATATGGGCCTTAGTAAAATTCCTTCCTTATGCTCCTTCGGTAAGCCGTAGAGTCTCGGGATCACCGTCCCTGTGGGACGAATGTATTCGAACGTGGCGGTGTCAATCATGGTTTCCTGTTTCAAGCGCCGTAGAAGCTTAGTAACTGTATTTTCTATTGCTGCAGTTTTGTCCTTTTCATTCTCCATTTTCCGGAAGTTCGAGCAATGGCTAAGGATGATGTTCATCTCGTCGATGTACTCTGCTTTCTGCATCAACACGATTTCTGTCCCCTTATCGGGCCTTAAAAGGAGCACATTCTCATTTTGTTTGAGAGATTTGAAAGCATCTAGGTGGTATTTTCCAGCAAATACATAAGCTTACTTTTGTATTTCAGAAATTGGTAAC